GTAGATTATCAATCTCTTCAAAGTTATTGATTATAATTTTTTGGGATATTTTTATTCTTCAATCTCTTCAATCTCTCAAACTTTTTGTAGACGTGCTGTTTCTGTGTTTTTTTTTCTACTGGAGTTTCTGTAGAACTAGCTGCTGCATCATGTCCATTTTAGTCATTATAAATAGTTACAACACTTTTACGGTAAAAATTACCACACGCTCTGGCACTGCTTTTCATACTCACAGCGCTTTTAAAATTACAATTTACCAAACGTTTAACTGCTTTACTTTACAGCTGATTCTTTTTAAAGCACAACAGAAACAGCTTTTTTTAAGGGAGACTTTGTAAAAAGACAAAGGAGAGAGAAATTTTTTAAAAGAAGCCAAAATGGACAAAATTGCCCTTATTTATTTTTGGATTTCCTAAGGAATCCTTTACATTTGCATGTCTTTGATTTGAAAATTGAGAGGTTTTTCTGTCTTTTTTGAAAGAGTTTTGGCTTTTTCCAAAAGTGAAATTTTTTTTTTGGCTAAAACCTAAATTTACTTTTTTTTAAAGCGGCAGCAATCCCAAACTAGGCCTAAATATATTCTTTGTTCTTAAATTATATACGAAATTTCAATTTGATCATTAAAAAAAAATTAACCAAATTAATTACTGTATGACTCAGCATTTGCAATATATAATATTTATAAATTATAAATGTTGAGTTATATATTGACCAATTTGGTTAAGTTTTTCTACTTAGTAATTAAATTGTAATTTAATGTAAAATTCAATGACCAAATATCACATATGAGCCAGCTAACAAAAAATAATTGCATGTCTGCAAATTGAAAATTTTAAATAATACATGATGAATTTGATAAAAAATTTTGTTCATGACAAAATTGAAATTTCATGTAAAATTAAGGGAGCTAATTTTCCCACCCCTCTTTGTCCACAAAAGGAAAATGAGAAAATCATCACCCAAAAAAAAAAAAAGATTATATTTAATCCTAAATTATTTATTAGGGTTCTTAACAGGGCACCGGGTTTCAAAAATGAATCGGGTAAAAGAGTCAAGTAGATTGCCTAGTCGGAGTCCTGACAGAACCATCTACTTTAATTAGACTACACTTTCCTCGGCAACCAAAACGCTAGTACACCACAGAGAATGCAACAACAGCAACCGCAGGCGACGATTCAAAACCACACTCCGCCATCTTCCTCTGCAGGGCCCACCACGGCGGAGGCGCCGCCGAAGCGGGTGGCGCTGGCAATGGAGCGGCTTTCTGACGCCGGCCGCCTGATCGCTGACATAAGGCTTGGCGCCGACCGCCTCCTCGAAGCTCTATTCGTGGCGGCTCAGCCTCACCAAAGCACCAAGCCTCTCCACTTGTTCCTCAACGAAGACGCCTCCATGCGTCAACACCTCCTTGACCTCCGCTCCGTCGGTACCTTCTCTCTCTCTCTACCTGGGTTCACTGTAAGCAGGCATTGGAAAAGCCACAATTTTTTTAGGGTTTTTGTGCTAATTTTTGTTAGGAAGGCAGCTAGAAGAGTCTGGGGTTCTGAACGAGTCTCTGAGATCGCGAAGCAATTCTTGGGGATTGCACATGCCCTTGGTATGTCCAGACGGCGCCGTTGTTGCGTATGCCTGGAAGCGCCAGCTCGCCGGCCAAGCCGGTGCGTCTGCAGTTGACAGGACCAGGTTGGTGTTAAATTCATAGAATTGGTCCTCCTGCTTGTTACATTGGCTCTCTATTGCCTATACTCAACAATTATTGATTACAGGGAAGTTATTTTTAGCAATATTTTAGCTTGTGTTCCAAAGAAGTCTAAATTTTGCATAAGCATGGTTAGAATTATAGCATATCCCAACTGAGTATTGTTTTTAAGAAGCCATTTCTTGAATTCTGTTATTCAATATTATAGGTTAGCTCTCAAAGCCTTCACTGATCAGAAAAGGAGGTTTTTTCCTCACCTTGATGAGGGGTCGAGTGGTCAGTCTAATGAATCAGCTACGAAGAAGCAATGTGTTTCGCCAGTACCAGCAGCACATGATCAAGAAGAGGCTCTAGAGTGCAAAACGCTATCAGAGGTCTTGGCACGTTTGGAAAAGGTTCCTAATTTGAAAATTTTCACGTATGAGCGATTGGATTGGTTGAAAAGGGCATCTTCACTGCCAGAAAATGAGAGTCCCAGTGAAACATTAAAGGATCATAATTTTCACAGTTCAAGCAAGTTACGAGCAGGTCCTCTGGGTGATGTTGCACCAGATAAGGTTGCCGTCATTGAGCTGCTGTTTCCTTCTCTCTTTAGGGCTGTAGTATCGCTGCATCCTGCTGGTTCTACAGACCCAGATGCAGTAGCTTTCTTTTCTCCAGATGAGGTAATCTTGGCCACCACCATGCATATTGTTCCTTAATCATAATCTTTATTTTTTATATTGTTTGATTCTTTTACATAGTTGTCCCATGCTAAACTAGGCAGCTGCTACATTGTAACCTTACAGCTGAACATCATGTGTGCAGTTGTAGAACTGATACTTGCATCAAAGATCAAAATAAGACGATATATCAGAAACTCTGGTTCCTTTTTTATTAACTTGAATCATTTGTTGTAATCATTACTTGTCCAACCCTCCCATAGATCCCAATTTCATACTATTTTAGATCTGTCATGTATTATGTGTTCTGTTGTGGTGCCTTTTAGATTTTCACTGGCTTTCAGATTATAGAGACTATTCTTTCTCTTTCCATTCCCATCACATGGAGCATATTTGTATCTTTTTTCTATTTCTTGTCTTTTATTCTAAAAGATGATTCTCTTTACTCTGCTACAGTTTACATTCCTCATTTCATTCTGTAACAGGGAGGCAGCTACTTACATGCAAGAGGTTTTTCAATTTATCATGTCTATAAGCATATCACGGTAAAACCTTTAATAATCCATTTAAGTTTATTATAGTTCAAATAATGGCCTTTCTATTAAATCACTTATCATTTCTTATTACAGGAACATGCTGCTATGGCTTTGCAGTATTTTATTGGAGTTCGAGCTGAAACAGCTCTCTATACTCTTTTGGTACCATCTCTAGCATGTTCATGAGAACTCACTGGATTATTAAGTTATTCACATGCATCATGTTGTACACATTTAATGTTCTAACTTTCTCTTTCTATTCCTAGCATTGGATCTGCAGCTATCAAACTCTCTTTACAAAAGTTTGCAGGTACAACCTTCTCATGTATACCTATCTGCAATTCTTTACTGGCTTCAGAGTCATTAACTTTATATATTTGGTGCAGTAAGTGTGGACGGCTGCTATCAATGGACCGACAATCAGCTTTACTTTTACCTCCAGTTTATCGTCCTTACCGGCAGTTCTCCGCATCAAATATATCGTCAAATTTAAATCTTGCCCGGGCTTACCATGTAGGTTGTTATTCAGAGGAATCGTGATCTACATTGTTGACAGGTAAAAAGAATAGCACATCATTCAAAAAACCTCTCTTGAATGTTAAATTGTATGCCTTATCTGCACTTTTCTCTGAATAATTTGCTGGAGCACAAGATTTTTTTATTTTTGCTTCTGCTAACCTAGTATACAAGAATTAAGTATATCATGTTGTCTGAGTTGACCGTATGTTTTGGTAGTGCATAAGAAATATGTTGGTCACTGCTTAGAAATTGTACTTTATTTGACCCCTCCCTCTCTCTTTTTCATTTTTTGTAAGTGAAGTATCCATGCTGCCTTTCTTCCTTTTTCCTTTTTATTTTTTTATTATTCTGTTATTCACAGAAAAGTATAGGTGTAGTTGTTTTTATTTTAATATATTGTGTCCTGGTTAAATTTCACTAGAATGCGTCGTCCTTTGAATCAGGTGTTTTTATCATCAGTCAGCATAAATCTCAGCTGTGCAACGGGAAATTCCATATCTGGTGTTGCAATAGATGTTGCTTGTAGAAGAAGATGCGTGCAATGCTCACACAAAATTCGTGGAATTCCTGTATGTGATCATATTTCGAGAACAATGCCAAATGCTTTTAGTTTTTGACATCTGAGAAAAATCTCTGTTGTAATTCTATTGCTAGGAGGAAAAAAAGGAGAATTTAGTACATAAGTTCTGGGATTCTTTGTTTAGCAGGTAGGCATGCAAACCTTCTAGGGTTGATGCTACTTAGTAACTTACATGCTGTTCTATGATTTTAATTGCAATAGTTGTATGAATCACCTTGAATCTAATATGATTGTAGTTTGACATTGAGATCAGATTGAAATCTTTCTGTTTTACTAGTTACAATGGTAAAACACGGGATGGAGTAACAAGTATAGATATTTAGTCATATACCTATTCTTCGCACTAATAATATAGATAAACCATACACCATTTAATTTTTATTAAAAAAAACTCAAAAAATGACGGTTGGCTCTATTGAATTTACTTTTGATTATTAAA